TTGATTTCAGAGAGAGGAAAGGAGAGGGGGAGAGAGAGAAACATCAATGATGAGAGAGTCATTGATCGGCTGCCTCCTGCACGCCCCCCCACTGGGGATCAAGCCCAAAACCCAAGCATGTGCCCTGACTGGGAACTGAACCCCGATCGCCTGGATCCTAGGTTGACGTTCAACTGCTGAGCCACGCCCGGCCGGGCTATACTTAACTTTTTTAATATGGTTTTTTTAATTGATGTTAGAGAGAAAGGAAGGGAGAGAGAGAGAGAGAAACATTGATGTGAGAGAGAAACATTGATCATTTGCCTCCTGCCTGGGGACTGAGCCTATGTGCCCTGACTGGGATTCGAACTGGCGACCTTTTGGTGCATGGGATGACCAGCTCAACCAACTGAGCCACACTGGCCAGGGCTATGCACTTAATGTTTAAAACAAAACAACCCAAAACTATTTCTCTTTTGTCTGAAAAGAATTCTCTAAGCCAGAATTAACTTCCAGAAACCAACTGAATTACCTACCTATGGTCCAATTGTAATCTCAGTGAGGGACTTAAACTAATTATTAACCACTAATTCTTTTCTAACTCCTAAATCCAGATGCCTGAGTCCCCACAGCTTAACCTCTGCTCCTCCTCTGGGGATCTGATAACTTAGGGAGTGACCTGATACTCCCTGGCCTCTGCCCAGGGCTGCATCTGGGACAGTGGAGGCCACTTGGGAAAAGCTGGAATTTAAGCTTCAGCCAGTTTTTGTCTCTCATGATTTTTTTTTTTTTTTTCTTGGCTCAGGGAGCTTTCAGCCAGGCTACCATCCAACTTTCTTGACCTTTTTTCTCATGGGAGGCAATCCAGCTTATCAAAAAGGAATTGCTTCTTTCCAATTTTGTCTCAATGCCACCTTCTTGTAGGAGTCGTGCTCCTGACGTGTATGGCTAATGTTTTCATACACTCTGGGAAGTTCCTTCTAGATTGCTAAGCAGTAAGCTCTCTCCTCAATTGATTTTCTGCAAATTTGCATTCCATGTTCTTGACTAGTCCAGCCACCAGTATTTGAAGTTTTAGCTGAAGTTTTTGAATCTCACTTTCAAACTATTTTCAGACTATAAAGATGTTTGTTCAGTTTGGAGACCATTCATTTGAACTGTAAGTGATTTGTTCATTTAAATTTCTTAACTCTTTAAATGATCCTTAATTTTCTCCTTCAAGCCTTTTTAAAGAAACACTTAACAGGATTGGTGTATTCCATCAAATTGACTTCTCATTGACAGCAGAGGAGTTCTCATTTTTTAAATCTTCTCTTCGTCTGGTTTCAGGTAGCCATCAGGCATGTAATCTTTTCTGAAAAGAGCAGACAGACTTATCCTCAGTATTGTTCCAGAGATTTTAATGGGCTCTCTGTATAATTTAAAGCCTCTTTCATTCATATTTTCAAGCTGTCAAGCCTTTTTGTTGTTGTTGTTCCTTCATTTCTCACACTTTTTCATCTCACAGCTTCTTGGGAAAGGAGTTTTAGGCTTTCTTCAAAATGAGTGCCTTTATCCAAAGTATCCATGATTTCCCTCTGAACTTGCTCTGCATTCTTCAGAGACGATTTTATGACGTGTTGTCATCAGTCACCTGAGAGAGAGGGATTTTGAGGACTGTGTCAATCCTTAAAGTTAAACCATGAAATGAAAATTTAGGGCGCTTACTATTTTCTGTCCTTTTAGGAAAAGTTCTGTAATATTCTCAAGTGATGAGCGGATCTGTCCAGATTTATAAGTGCTACCAAACTTGCTGTTTATAACTTCAGAAGAATGGTCTGCACTGGAGGTGACTTAGGGTTCATTGGTGACTCAGTCTAAACTCCTCACTGACTTCAACCCAGGCAGAAAATCTTTCGGCTAGTTCTTTTTCCCTCCTTAAGTTTCCCTGCTCTTTACTCTCTTTACAATCAGAAACTCCTGGGGACACCCATGGAGACTGGGGCCTTGATTCCAGCATCAGACAGCACCTGAGGGCTGGTGGGGGGCCGGAGGAGGAGGGAAGGCCAGGCTCTATAAAACAGAGCCCACTGTGCAAATGGAAAATGATATTATTTATGCAGTGCATTTGGGCAAGTAGAAAACAAGAAATATGGCCAGAGGAGACCAGCCATGAGCTCTGACTACTTCAGTCCTCACTTGATCCTGCAGGAAACCTAGGAGGTCAGAGCCATGCCATGCCGTTACCCACTCTGCGAGCAGGTCGGGTGTCGTGGTGGGGCGCACTGCAGCGGAGCACTCCTGTCCCAGGGCCCTGGGTGAGGCTCATTCTCCTCAGTTCAAGTTTCCTTGGGCAGCAGGGAAGTCTGGTCCCACCTGCAGAGGTCACAGGGATCTCCCTCCCCAAGAGGCACCCCTCCCGTCCCCATTTGTGTATGTTTGGTCCAGGTGGGTAGGGGCAGAGCACTGAAGGGCCTCAACAAAGGAATTAACTAACAGCCCTGGATTTCAGTATCAGATCTGGCAATGTCCTAACAGTTTATGGATTTTCTGTGGGGTCAATCTGTTCTCATTCAATCCAAGCCAGTGTGTCATTGAATCCATGGGGCAGACTCTGTTCGAGTGGGGTCTTGGTGACCCAGGCTCCTTCCATCATGTGGCCCTTCAGCTCCTGGCTCCCAAGGTTGTGTTATAATTGGTCTCCAGTCCAGGAAACAATTTCCAAAAGAGTGGCTGCCTTTCTGTAGGGAGCTGGTTCTTCTTTTGGCTGAATCTGGCACCTTGTGTTCCTTTAAACAAAATTGCACTCTCCTAACTTCTCTCTGGAAGGCTCAGCTCAACCCTCCTTGCCCATCTTCTGGGACACTTGCCTTGAGGAACTCTACAAAGAAAGCCAGGGGGAAAGGAGAGAACTCTCAGCAGATGATGGATGGCCTGGGGGTCTTGGAGGGGTCCAGGGCTCAAGCCACAGGTTATTCTATGAATGTGAAGGATTAAGGCTCAGACTAGGCTTTGCAATGAGGAAAGGAGCTGGCCAAATGCCTCATGGAGTTTATTTTGTTTAGAACTCATGTATTTTTTCGAAAAGGGCGAGGGGTGGGGGTGATGGGGACCCAGACAGGGCTTATTTTAAGTGGTAAGACTGGACAGAGTCAGAAAGGGCAGGGAAGTATTTTAGTATTTTGTTGAATGGCATTTTTTTCAGTATGTGTAATGAGTCTCTATTCAGTGTGTTTTCTGTGCAATCCTGTCTTTTGTAGGAAATGATGAGGTTAGGCTACATGGTGTTTCCAATGACAGAAGATGATTTTAGGTGGTTTGCTTACTCAGCATTAGATAACACTGAGTCACATGGTGAGAAAGTCATTTCTTTCTCTGCAAGCCTTTTAATTATGTTGAAAGCTTTTCTCTGATTCTTGCTAATCTCCCTCTTTAAAGAGAGCAGGTCTCAGGTTGACAGCCCTCTGCTACCATCAGTATCTTCCTAGGTTTTAATAAAAATAATTTGCTTTCATTATCTTCATGTTTATGATTATCATCTACTTACGGAAGATGATACTGATTTTCCATTTAGGGCGGTGTTACGAAATTTAAGCCAATTTTTTAAAACATGAGCTGACTGAAAGAAAAATACTGGATAAATGATAGTATACATATGTAGATGTCAACAACAAAAACCATCATGTTGCCAGCAAATAAGGACACTGTTCCAGAATCCTCCTGCTTTATGATTTCTTCTATATGCTCTTTTGAGAGGGATTTGGGAGCCCAAAGGAACTAAACTGCCATTGGGACATCTAGGGCAAGACATCAGCCAAACTACAGTAGCTTTTACTTACTTAAATTCTGATATCACCTCTGGTTTAACAGGAAATTCTTGTCATTTATTATGACAGCACTGAGCCCTGAAATGAAATGTAATTAGAACTGTGTTTATGAATCACTTAAGAAAGAGGGTCTCTCCTGGCCAGCTGTGGCTCAGAGGTTGAGCATTGACCTAGGATCCAGGAGATTGCAGTTGGATTCCCGGTCAGGGCCCATGCCCGAGTTGCGGGCTCGATCCCCAGTCAGGGGCGTGCAGGAGGCAGCCGGTCAATGACTCTCTCTCAGCATTGATGCTTCTCTCTGTGTCTCTCCTCTCCCTTCCTGTCTCTGAAATCAATAAATACATATATATATAAAATAGTCATAAAGATATATGAAAAGAAAGAGAAAGAAAAAGAGAAAGAAAGAAAGAAAGAAAGAAAGAAAGAAAGAAAGAAAGAAAGAAAGAAAGAAAGAAAGAAAGAAAAAGAAAGAAAGAGAAAGAGAAAGAGAAAGAAAGAGAGAGAAAGAAAGAAAAAAGAAAGAAAGAAAAAGAAAGAAAGAAGAAAGAGAAAGGGAGGGAGGAAGGAAGGAAAAGAAAAAGGAAAGAAAGGAAGAAAAAGAAAGACAAAGAAAGAAAAAGAAAAAGAAAGAAAGAAAAGAAAGAAAGAAAGAAAGAAAGAAAAAAGAAAGAAAGAAAGAAAAAGAAAGAAAGAAAGAGAGAAAGA